ATACATTCAGAACTTAGAATTAGATCTAACACTTCTGTAATGCTCAGAAGGAGAGAATGTTACTCTTCTACCTTATGTAGCTACGTTCAATTCCTCCTACCACCTCTCCTTCCCTCTCTTTCTGTCAGTCCATCCAGCTTTGAACTTCCTTCTTCTTTCAGCAAACAAGACTCATTGAGTCATCTTTTGGTGCACTAACCAGCAATGTTCGAGCAGGAAATACGTTAGTCCCAAGCTAATACCTTCCGAGAGGTTCTTCTACACAACTGTAGAAGTATTAATATCTATGTCCTAACTTTCAAATACACTCTTCTTTAAAACTGACCTACCTGGGTGGGTGACGGGAGGAGTCTCCATCCGTGATGACCATGATTATGACAGACATGGAAGGAGGCTCTTTGACACCAACTCACCCTCCATATACCTCACTGCCTCCTTACAAAGCTAATCCTTCCCTGGACCTTCCCAAGTCCTCAGTGCAAAGACCAGGGACACAAACTAAAGAATGAACAAAAGTTTAGGTGCACATAAGGTATGAAAGTGTTTGAGTAACAATTGCTTTTATAAGCAAGGTAATTTTCAGTTCTTTATTTAAAAAAAACCCTATAAATATGAAAAGTCCTATGGAATAGGCAAAAGAAATACAAAATAGTGGACTTCAACTTCTATACTTCTTGTTACAGAAAATATGACAATGATTCATGGAACACTTTTAAGCCTGAACACAGCATGGAGATAATGTTCTATACAGGGAAGGCAGAAAGAAATATAAATTTAAATAGATAAAAGTATAAAATATTTAAGTATTGAATTTTATGCATTTTTAAAATAAGTAGAATCACGAAAATTGTGCGAGTCTTTTGAATACTACAACAATGTAATTTAAAATGTCAATACTTACAATATGCTGAAAAATTACATACCTTTCAATTCCTTAAATTTTGGCTAAAAAGCTTTTTAGCAATTAACTTAAAAGCATGCTTCAGGGGCCGGGGAGATGGCTCAGTGGAATAAGCGCTTCCCTGGCAAGCGCAAGGGCCTGAGTTCAATCCTTGGTTCTGGGGAGAATATGCTTCAGGGGACAGCATTTTACAGAACCCTTTGGGAGCCACAGGAGCAGAGTTGGAAGAACATTGCTCTACACCTTCGAAGGTTTTCCAAGATGAAATAGTGAGAGGAAATAAGCAATTTCCCAGCAACCCAGTTTTGAGTAAGGAGATTTACAGGTAGAACAGGGTTAGTACTTCCTCTACCCTCTTGATCCTAAGCACATTTGCTGGAGTTGGCTTTACAGCCAACAATTAACAAGACCAATGATGAGTTTAAATATCATCATAAAGAAATCAGGTTTGATGGAGCAAGTAGTTTGATTTAAACATACAATAAATACAAGAATTGAAACATCATGTTATCCAGTAACATGTATAATTTTAAAGCTTTTATATATCACTTAAAATAAAAAGTAAACTTAATTAAAATACTTCTTCTAAACTGTATTGCTGCCTGGGTAATAAGAGGTAGCTTCTCAAACCTCCCAAGAACCACAAGAGTACTTTTCTTCAGGCTCTCCAGAAAGACTACTACGGCAATACCTAAACAGGCTCACTAATTCTGTGTCTATCTTATCATAAAAAGATAAATCTCACCACTGGGGATGTAAATTGAATGCATCTAAGTGACATTTCAGGAGTGACATTCCTAATGCAAAGAACTGAAGAGCACTTCATACATTGTGTGCTAAATATGTTCAACATGAGCAAATGTAGGAAGGGATTATCCCAACAGATACATCTGCATATCTTAAGACCCCCAAATTGTTTTGTTCTCTTTCTGATTCTGAAACCTCTCTTCTTTCCTGTTGCCTCTTTTCAGACACTCCTTTGGGAAGCAGAAAGTCATCTAAATATGATGGATGATGCCAGCACTTAATTCAGTGTCTACACTGGTTTAAAAATATTGACTTTCCGGTATTCAAGCTCTGAGAGACAGTGAGGCTATTTAGAGCAGACGTTAGACCTACTCCAAATCTACTGCTCTTTAGGACAAGGAGATAGCAGAAACTGAGATAGGACATCTGCAGACGCACAAAGTCGGTGGAAATCCCACTCCGTCATCTACCCGCTATGAGACCTTCGCTCAATCTCTCTGAACCCCAGGCTCCCAAAGCCACTCCAAGGAGGCTGCAGATGATGTGAGATGATACCCATCAAGCATCTGGAGATACAACTGCGCACAGTAGGCACTCACTCATCAAGTTATAAAATTAAGATGTTTCATGTCCTTTCATGATAGCTTAAAATCAGTCAATAGTTTCTTTATGGCCTAATGTCAACTACTAGCACATTTTCCAGCTTCTTTCTAGTCTCTCTTAAAACAAATGACATAGGAAATGACTACCTTTCATGTTTAAGTATATGGTGTGTGTGTGTGTGTGTGTGTGTAAAGTATATCTGCAGTACTAAATCAGGCAAAAAGATACACAGACACACATACACACAAGGAGTGAAGGCAGCTCAAAACTTGAGATTCTGCTGATAGCATTCCAAAACATGACAGTGTTCTGCCATGTTCTAAACACTGCTATAAAACCTGCTTTAAAATAAGCAGAGAATCTATGATTGACTTTTCTTTTTTTCTAATGTTGGACATTGAATCCATGGCCTGGAGGCTGCTGGACAAACAATACCACCAAGTTACATCCCGCCACCTCTTTATTTTGAAAGGCTGCCCAGGTTGGCCTTGAACTTTCCACCCTCTTACCTCACCCTCCCAAGTAGCTGAGATTACAGGTGTGCACCACCACACCTGGCTTATGACAGGCTCTACCCAAATTCAATTGCTAAGCTCATACGTTCCCCTGCAAAATTAGCAAAGATTTTAAAAAGAAAAAAGTTGCATAATATTTTAAGGGTCTAGGCAGAGTGGCATTCTCACAACGGCCAATTAGTATAAATGAGTATAACTTTTAGTCTCTATCTAACTGAATGACAATGTTGCACTAGAGGAACAAACTCTAACCCAAACTAGTAGATTTATGTACAACAGTGTTCACTATGTCATAAATTATAAAAAATTAAGCAACTTATAATGCAAAGAAATTAAACAATTTGAGTTTACAAGGATTAGGTAAAACTTATTGAAATGAGATAACCTATTGAAATGCGATTGTTAAGTGAAAAGACAAGGTATAAAGCAGTATTTAGTTTTGATTAGAACTTTGGTAATTAGGCAGTAAAAAGAAAAATAAGAGAATTTTACACTAAAGAATTAGAATTGCATACAGTGATCAAAATTCATTCCCAAGTTTGAAAGGACACAATGTTAAAACTCACAACCCACGTCCTGATTTTAAAAAGAAGAGTGGGATGAGCACACTGCTGATTCAGATCCTTTTTATGAATGGCAAGGAAAGGAGAGTGGGTAATAAAAAGAAGAGTTATGTCTGAAACTGATATTCAGCCTCCTTAGACTTTCAGCTTAATGAATCTTTTGAGTGACTTCAACACCCCATGCACCAGTGCTTTCCTGACTGGCTAAGAAGTTTTGGCAGCCTGGGCAGAGATGTGGGAAGGATGGAAAAGGTGAGGCCTGGAACCTGCCAACGTATACAGTTTTGCACCTCGGAGGAAATGAAACATGGAACGAACACACACACACACACACACACACACACAGGGAATGAGGCCTGCAGATGCACATGTAAAGCACAAAACACTTTCCCACTCCCACTCTAACCAAAACGCCTAACAGATCATCTTCCATCCCTGGGATTCAACAGCCATTGTCATCTGGACCTCACTACTAGGTTACAAACTCCTGGCTTATTCCCAATGCTCACCTCTACACCACCACCAGGACAAGGCCAGCAAGCCTGCCAAGACTGTTCTCCAGCTTTTATGAACTTCTCTGCACTTATTTTCACATCAGTGCTTCAAATGTCTAATCTGATCCTACAGACAAGAAACGCAGTAAAAAAATTCTTTGGCGTGTGCATAGCTCACGCAGTGTAGTCCTTCACCCGCTCAAGGAGTAACACAGGTGCCTGCGACTTGAACTGACACCTCTGTGCGCCGCGCTGTTTTGACTTGGCCTGTGTGGGAACGGCCACAGCTCCATCTGCCTGCCTGGGCCGGGCTGCCCCACAGCTGGCAGGCTTCTTTCTTCAAAATCTGAAATCCCATGAAGCCCAAACCCGCTGACGTTACTGTGAAAACAAGAAAACCTTAACTACCACCTTCCATGTCACAACTCTCAAACTGAAAGGTGTCTATGAGCCTCACAGCAACACAGCTACACAACTGCAGATGCCACACTGCAGAGCAAACTGATGGGGGGGGATGTTTGGTTGGTTTCTGGCGGTCAGTTCCACAAAATACTCCTTTCTCAGTTCTGAGCACAGGTTCCAAATCAATCTGTGTTTTAAGGACTGATTTCTTTTCCAAGCTGGAAATGCTCTGAGCTAATAATTAACCTTAAGCATACCATCACTCCTGCTAAAGACATTTTCTATTCACAGCCCTAAATTACTTTCAGTTGGGTTAAACAAAACAGACAAGCTGTAATAAAAGGTCTCTGGGAAATGTGATCCCTTTCATTGGTCACCCAGGAGCTTTTACTGCTGCTTCTTGACGAAAGGGAGGGGGAATAAGGAGGGGATCCAAAATAAGATACTACCCGGGGAACACGAAGATTTTCGTAAGAAAGTTGCCTAAGATAGCTACTCAGGGTTTCTCAGGTTGAGTAATTCTTGCAGGCGGCTGGGGAAGGACTGCTCGCACCCAAGATTACTATCTGCAGGTTTCCCCTGGGCTGATATTCTTTTTTAAGGCTTCCTTTTAAATCACACTGCAAGGGCTCTGATTTCCACCTCTCGGGCTGCTGCCTGGGGGAGTTGGGAGCAACGCGCCAGGGCTGCGACAGCCGCGCGGCCAACTCCGCCGCCGGGGGCGGCAGCCCACTCCGCACCGGTCCCACCCCCCGGGCGCCCGCGCCGCACTCACCGCTGTCCAGCCGCGCGATCTGGGGCAGCCGGTAGGTACTGACCAGCAGGTCGAGCGGCACGGCCACCGAGCTCCACTTCACATCCTTGAGGCTGCAGCCCAGAAAGGGCGCCGGGTCCATCTCCCCGCCGCCGCCGGTGGCACCAGCGCGCCTCGCCGGCCGCCGCTGCTCACTCGCGGTCTGCGCTGCGCGGGAGGCGCCG